GGTGAATGTGATGATTTCTCTAAGTATTTGTATCCATTTATGTTTTATATATGGTGAAGCATTTTAAAATATTTTTGTGTAAATTTTAAATAATTATATTGTTCTTGTAAATGAGATTTTTATCATCATTTGGCAATCTTCTTTATTCTGAATAATGTGCCTTTGAGTGTATTTTTTTCTAAAATGTATTGCCTATATACATTTTAAATCTCTTTGTAGAATTTTTAAACGTTTGGTGTTACATATTTTTTATTTTTATAGATCAAAATTTAGAGTTGTACTTAAATTATAGACAACTAATATCTTACCATTATATCTGTCCAATTTTTTCTAGTCTTTTAAAAAATTGATTTTTTTATTGACGTGTAGTTGATGTATATTATTATATAAATTACAGGTGTACAGTACAGTGATTCACAAATTTTAAAGGTTACACTCCATTTATAGTTATTATTTGATATTTTCTATATTCCACATGTTGTAAATAGAGATATCTATTTAGTCAGAATGGCCATCATTAAAAAGTCTACAAACAATAAATGCTGGAGAGGATGTGGAGAACAAAGAATACTCTTATACTCTTGGTGGGAATGTGAATTGATGCAGCCACTATGGAGAATAGTATGGTGGTACCTTAAAAAACTAAAGAGACTTACCATATGATCCAGCAATCCCACTCCTGGGCATATATCCAGATAAAACTCTAATTCGAAAAGATACATGCACCCCAATGTTCACAGCAGCACTATTTACAATAGCCAAGACATAGAAACAACCCAAATGTTCATCAACAGATGACTGGATAAAGAAGTTTTGGTATACATACAATGGAATACTACTCAGCCATAAAGAAGAATAACATAATGCCACTTTCAGCAACATGGATGGACCTGGAGACTGTCACTCTAAGTGAAGTAAGCCAGAAAGAGAAAAAAAAATGCCATATGCTATTGCTTATATTTCAATCTAAAAATAAAGGACACAAATGACCTTATCTACAAAACAGAAACAGACTCGTAGACATAGAGAACAAACTAATGGTTACCAGCAGGTGGGAAGGGATAAATTGGGAATTTGAAATTTGCACCTCTTGGGGAGTGATGGAAATGTGAGCTATCTTGATTGTGGTAGTGGTTTCATGGGTATATACATCTATCAAAATTCATCAAACTGTACATTTGAAATATGTGTAGTTTCCTGTACAGAAACCATACCACAATCACAGTGTTAAGAAAGGCTAAAAGAGATTGAAATATTTTAAATTTGTGCAAGAATAAATCTGCTAACCCAGAAATCTACTTATAGCAGAAATTCTCTTCAAAATGAAAGAAAAATAAGACATTTTTAGAAACACAAAAAAGAGAGATACTATCTCCAGTAGACATGAATGTGCAGGTATATTATAAAAAGTTCCTCACAGAAAAGGGTGATAATATCACACTGAAACCTTAAGCTATAGATCGGAATAAAGAGGCATTATACTTACATAAAATTATTTTTCATATTTTCTTATTTTTTTCACATGCAACTTACTACATTAGGGAAAATAGTATCA